TGGTCCGGTCCAAACTCGTGATGGTCCGGTCCAAACTCGTGATGGTCTGGTCCAAAATCACGATGGTCCGGTCCAAACTCACAATTGCTCTTCAGAACCGCTGCCTGGAGACAGAAGCCGACTCTCCGTCGTCAGACGGTCCTCAAAGGACGAAGCGTGCACAAAATAAAACGTTTGTTTTTCACTATTTAACAAACATTAAAACAACAAACACAATATTTCTTCTTCAGTCTGTGATGATGTAATGCTGCAGGAAAACTGAGAGTCAGACCCGACACTTCTAATCAATTCACAACAGATTTATAGTCAATAACTGACGATCCCAACGTTATAAAGTTTATAACGACACAAACTGCTCTTAAAAAGCTGACGGTGTTTTATTTGATCTTTTTATTTTTAAACTGGTAAAAATCACAACTGTTGGAAAATGTCACAGAACGGAGACGAGTTAAAAACTTTAAACAAAAATCAATTAAAATAATTGATCACACAGGGAGACATCCATGTTTTATTCAATCATCAGTCTGGAGGTTTGTCTTCATTTGAATAAAAACCTGTTTCCACAGGTGAGCAGCCATCCAACAGAAGCTAAAAGCTAACGGCTAATTAGCTCCTCATGTTTTTTAATGAAGTGCGTAAAGACAACGAGCGGTTCGTTTAGCTTTAGTCGTGTGTGTTTATTAATCGTTGTTATAAATTAACTGTTTTAAATCAACTGTTATAAATTAACTGTTTTAAATCAACTGCAGGACGTTGGTTCTGCTTCAATAAATAAAACAGTTAAAGCTGCACTTTATAAAAATATAAAATGTTTAAAATCCAAGATGTAAAACAAATACGATGATTTTACAGAAGTCGTAAGACTTGAACAATATTCTCACCGAAGCAGCTGAACTGCCTGAAATGACTTTTTAAAACTCGTTAATGTTATAATAAAAAAATAATTCATAAAAAACAGAACGAGAGTTTATTTAATTAAATAAACCGAGTGGACACCGTAAAGAAACTGGAATTAAAAATAAAGTTTGAATCCAGTTTTCAGAAGATTCACCAAAACTTTCAGTAAAATGTCCTGATCCACTGGACCGATCCAGTTCTGGACCGATCCAGTTCTGGACCGGTCCAGAACCTGTCCAGAGGTTCAGACTCAGCCTTCTTAGAGTTTTGTAAAAACTGTAAAACAACAAAAGAATCAGTTTTTAAAAAAGATAAAAGTCGTGGATCCAGAAAGAAGAGGTGAGATTTCATCTTCGCTCTTCATCAAACTCTTCATCAAACTCTTCATCAAACTCTTCATCAAACAAACTCGTCCAAACGTTTCGGTGAGTCGGAGTCAGAACTTTATTTTTCTACAGATTTTATGTTTTTATGAGAACACGCCTCGTTTCCTCTGAACGTCCTCGTTCGTGTTTTAGTTGAACAGAAGTTCGTTTACGAGCAGGAAGAACTAAACCTGGAGTCGTTTTTTCAAAATAAAAGTTCAGACTTCACAGTTAAAACAAACATGTCGATCATCTTTTACATAATCAGGTCGTCTTCGTTGTAACTTGAAACTGAAAGTACTCACAGATGATGCTTTAGACGTGTGGTAGTAGCTGAGAGTCGTCTCCGAGTGCTGGAGGGCGTTCCTTCACGTGTTTGTAACGAACAGATGTTTTTGACAGACGTCTCATGTTGGTGCAACTAAAGTAAAATTTATTTATTAATCTATTCTAATTACTAGAAACTAACAGAACGTGTTTAAAAGTCAAATCTTGGGACGTTTTCCTTCGAGTTTGTTCTCGGGGTAATCGGACCTCCGTGTTCTGAGAAGTTCTGTTGGACTCGGCTCAGTGTAAAACACTTCAACATCTGGACGGAGTAAAAATACAAAGATAAAAATATTTTACAGCCAGGAGGAATCAACTCGGCTCATCTTTCACTTCTGGATTATTCTGAACTGCAGGAAGTTTCTGTTTATTAAAATGAGCTCATTCCAGCCTCCAGGACCTCTGCAACAACAAACAAACAAACAACAACAAACAAACAAACAAACAACAACAACAACCCACTGCCTCTGACGTAGCGTTGTCTTCTTGCTCTTTATTATCGACGAGCGTTCACGCAGCTTTAAACGGACCCTGAAGAAGTTTGGAGTCTCGCTTGTTGCTCTAATTTAAAATAAAACTTTTAATCGAGTTTCAAATCGTCTGAATCAGGAAAATACAAAATACATAAAAAGTGTTTTTACTAAAGTCCAGCTTGGTTGAGGATTGTGGGTCAGTTCAGAACCAAGTTCTTTAACTGGTCATTGCTGTTTAAAGTGCGTGCACGTTAACGCACGTGTTTAAAGTGTGTGCACGTTAACGCACGTGTTTAAAGTGCGTGCACGTTAACGCACGTGTTTAAAGTGCGTGCACGTTAACGCACGTGACACGTTGGAAAACTTCAATTTAAACTTCTGTTCAAGATTTACACGAGCTCAGAGAGAACCTGCAGGTCCAGGACTTGTTGACCCTGCAGGTCCAGGACTTGTTGACCCTGCAGGTCCAAGACTTGTTGACCCTGCAGGTCCAGGACTTGTGGACCCTGCATGTCCAAGACTTGTTGACCCTGCAGGTCCAGGACTTGTTGACCCTGCAGGTCCAGGACTTGTGGACCCTGCAGGTCCTGGACTTGTCGTCACTTCTTCGGGTCCCTTTAAACCGTGTCAGTCCAGACCCGTCAGAACACTCGATGCTGAAATGTGTGTAAAGTTTTACTAACACACGTGATAATGTACTACAAACTAACTTGAATGTTGTTTTGGTCCAGAACTTGCTCCTGAGTCGTGCTGTAATCTGTAATCTGTAATCTGTAATCTGTGCAATAAACTCAGTGGACATGAACACTGGACTGCTGCGTTCATCTGTTGATGGTTTCGGCTGCGAGCCTTCAGCTTCCTGTTTCCTGTTTGTTGGAGCGGCTAAAAGGTTCTGAGAGGAGTCGTCATCAGTTGGAGCTGGAAGAGGAGGAGGAGGAGGGGGGAGAGGGGGAGGAGGAGGAGGGAGAGGGGGAGGAGGAGGAGGGAGAGGGGGAGGAAGGAAGAGGTGTGGACGCCTAAATGTAGCTCCATCTGAAACAAAAAGAGTTTGACCGTTGACCTTTAACCACTTTCATCTAATGTTCAGCCGTTCCCTTAAAGCAGGGACCTTCAGGGACCTTCAGGGACCTTCAGGGACCAGCAGGGACCAGCAGGGACCTTCAGGGACCAGCAGGGACCAGCAGGGACCTTCAGGGACCTTCAGGGACCAGCAGGGACCCCCTCATGTTTATTAAATTTCTCCAGTTTTTCTCTTTAAATCAGTGGAAACGTAACATGAATATTTCAAACCCGTTCTTTAATAGTGTTAATACAATTTTTATACTTTTAAACATGGACTGTTTTTCATTAAAGACGCACTCAATGAACTAAATTTTGAATTTCAACTTCCAAAAATGAGTTTTGAGAAGATTACCAGAATCAAAACATGATGAACACAATCAATGTATCAGCAACTCTTCAGATCGTCACATGGAACTGAAGAGGATCAGCAGCAGTCAGACCCAGAGACCGGCTCAGAACTGATCCATGCTGGAACGTAAAGAGCGGACAGGGTGGGGGGTCTGGGGCTCCTCCCCCAGAAAATAATCATAATAAAGTAGATGTGATTTCCTGCATATATATATATATATTTTTTTTTTTTCTAATGTTCAGCCGTTCCCTTAAAGCAGGGACCTTCAGGGACCTTC